CCTACTGATCTGCATTACTTTCTGAGTGAAGTCACCACGCCTCTGCTCGAATGCATCTGATGCAACGCAAGTATATATCGATTTACTTCAAAAGCACAACATGTCTGATGCGAAGCCTGTCTCCACACCGTTACCGATGACACCGAAACTATCTCTCCGTGGAGGTACCCCACTTTCTGATACCTCTCAATATCGTTCTCTTGTTGGCAGTTTACAGTACCTTGCCTTCACTAGAACGGATTTAACTTATGTGGTCAGCAAGTTTTCTTAGTATATGCATCAGCCCACTCAAGATCATTGGACTGCTGCTAAACGAGTTTTACGGTATCTCGCTGGTACACAAACACATGGTATACAACTTCACAAAAACTCTCCACGGACACTTCATGCCTTTTCCGAAGCTGACTGGGCTGGTGATGTGGATGATTTCATCTCCACAAATGGTTACATTGTCTACATGGGTCGTAATCCTATTTCATGGTCTTCCAAGAAACAACGTGGTGTCGTTCGATCCTCTACAAAAGCTGAATATAAAGCAGTCACCAATACAGCAGCAGAGGTGCGCTGGCTCTGTTCACTTCTCACTGAACTCCGAGTTCCTCTTCCTGTGGCACCGGTGATTTATTGTGACAATATTGGTGCCACCTACTTATGTGTCAATCCCGTTTTCCATTCGCGTATGAAACATATAGCGCTTGATGTACCATTTCGTCCGAAACCAAATTCAAGGTGGAATGCTTCGAGTTTCTCATGTCTCAACTAAGAACCAACTCGCCGATACACTCATGAAGCCTCTATCCCGATTACCGTTTCAACTCGTTTGCTCCAAGTTTGGAGTCTTCAAGAAACCTCCATTTTGAGGGGGCGTAATAGCCAAAGATGGAAAGTAGATATATAGTCATAATTGTAATTATTCTGCATCCTAATTTCTCTCCTCTGTTCGTGTATAAAGCCATGTAAATCTTTTATAATGAAATCATAATCTTAAACATTTATAGAAAGTGTTGATCTCGTAATGTAACTCGATCAGCTTAAACATATTTACAGATCTACTAGACGACTAATATGGGTCAAAGACCAAACATCTGTCCGTTACAAGCTCAGGCTTCAAAGTTAAAAAGGTTAACAACGATAAAACATTTTATATGGCAGACGGCATCATATAAATGTGATATGTATAGCACAAAGTAAAGAAAAATTTGTTTTTGTCAAGAAATTAAGATAAACATGTGTGAACACAAATGTTGATGAAAATCAACGGAATATGTGTGCACTTATACAACGACAGAAACAAATCCTCCAATTTCATAAGTTTTTTAAACTATATAAAACTGTATATTACTCTTGAACTTCATGCACTATACGATATTTTTAGTAAAATAACAATAAACAATCAAATATATATATATATAATATAGATGGCCCAGGCCCATTACGAGGGAGAGAGATAAATAGAGAGAGTACACGGAGAGTTTTCGCCGAGTTCGTCTTCTTCAGAGTTCAGACTCGTTAGTGTGGAGATATGGAAAATCAGGATGCGAAGGTATCTATGCATAAGATCGGAGAGACGGGAAAAACCCTAAATTATATCTATATTGCTCTTGATGTACTAAAGGAGATATTTTTGAGACTCCCCCCCTGAGATCTTTGGTCAGATTCAAAACGGTGTCAAAAGAATGGAGATCGATATTGGAATCAAAGAGCTTCATTGATATGCATATGAGTTTTCAGAAATCATCTCTCCGGAGAATCCTGTTCGGTTACGGCGGCGAAAATCGGCCGAGTCTCTCACCGGAGTCACGATTCGAAGGCGACGAAGACATGATGTATCTGCACTGCGACACAGAGCGACCGTCGATGAGTTGCGACGGTTTGGTCTGCATCCTCTCACCAGATTGGGTCAACGTTTTGAATCCATCGACCGGTGAAATCCGGAGCTTCCCTTCCGGCCCAGATCCCGTGCCTTCCCTGCTATTCCCTCGCCGTGGCAGAAGTAAACTATTCTACTCTCGCTGTTATATACAATTAGCCCTTCTTCTTATATGGTTTGGAATCACTGAATTTTGGCTCAAAAATAAGTAAAGTTAAAAACTTTGCAATCAATTTTAAAACTTTGCAGTAAATTTTAAAACTTTGCAGACAGATGGTATACTTGTTTCCCGGGATATTGGGCAATGGGATTTGGTAGAGACAAAGTGACGGGGAGCTATAAAGTGGGGAGGATGTGGTTTTATCATGTGGAATGCGATGTTCTCGCGGTTGAAACTGGTGAATGGAGGAGACTGAGTCCACCTCCTTAAGAGGTCGATGAAGGGAGAAGATCGGCTTGTGTGAACGGATCCATCTACTGGCTAGAAGTTGCGTGTGCGTGGGGTTACAAGATACTAGCCTTTGATCTTCACACACAAGAGTTCCATGACGTCAAAGCTCGTCTTCCACTTCCTTATTTAGTCACAGGGGAAGACCAGATACTGAATCTCGACGACAGTCTAGCCATTTCGATGACAATGAAGAGTGAAAAGAAACTAGAGGTCTGGTGCATGATGGATTCGAAAGAGGAAACATGGAGCAAAACCTACTCTAGCTCAAGTAGCTACGAGCCACCCATTTAAGGTTAGGTGGTTCACGCCGGTGGCGGTTTCTAAGGAAGGGAACGTTTTGATCTGTGACGATAACAAGAGTTTATTCAAACATTATCCACATACAAATGTCACTCGTCTTCTCACATACTCTACTTGTTGTTGGGTTATATCTCCTTATCTTGAAAATTTGGTCCGACTAAACCCCTAGTTCAGTCCCCTTTTTTCTGTTTATTAGGGAATTAAGAGTCTTGTGTGTTTGCTTCTAATTTGTTAGTTGGAACATGGAACTTGTGAGTGTTGATTCTTTACAAGTCGATTTTCCGACATGAGAGCCTGTAATTTGATCTCAGCTTGGTTACTTTTATAGTTGGAAAACAGCTTCGTTGTTCTGTATCTACTTATCGAGAAAGCAAATCTGATAACAGAAAATTTTATATATTTACTGCAACCAAGACTCTTCATCTGAGGACTAATTCAAGAAGTGATAGAGCAGCATTGCAACAAGCTTTAGCATCTACCAAGAGGTGTCTTACATCTCCAGTCACTTAGCGGGGATTTCTCCTTTGTATCACCAAAGGATTTATCAATATTTACCGAGAGACTAAAGAAACGGTTGCGTGAAGAGGGAATAAACGAGAGCCTTGTAAAAGAGTGTGAAGAGATCGTGGATTCAAAGTTCTCCAAAGTTCAATAACAAATCAAACTTTTCCCCGAAGAACGAACAAAGTTACTTGATTCATCATTGAAGCGACTAGAGGTAAAGCTGAATCCTTGCTTTTCCTTTATGATTGTTTGTTTTTGGTTGAGTTGTTTAATGCTGGTCTTGCACATTGTTTCCCTTCATTTAGTAACTTACTAGTGAACAGCCTGTACGGTACATCTGCATTGGTAACACTTGAGCATATGCACAAACCATTCTACATTTGTCAATGTATCCTGCTGTTGGGAAAGTTATATGAATGTCAGTTTTGCATTCTCTTATCACCTATCACGGGGATATTTTTTTTCCAATGATTTTGATAATTTCTGAACTTTATAAATCTATGCCAAGTCATAACGTGCAGTCTGTATCATGTATCAAAAATTTGAATGTAATGTTATAATATTTGTAAATCTTAAGAAATGCTATGTAACTATATATGTTCATACTGGCTATTCTAAAGTGGGAGTTTCTTTGTCCGGATATTATGGATTATTTAGAAAATCCAAGGTGAAAGCAATTGATTAATTAGAAATTAGAATCTTACAAAAAATTTAGAACATATTTTTTCCCCTCAACATGAGAGACCTATGTGAGATACTATGAAGTGCTCTTAGAATATAACTCGATCAGCTTATATTTAGTAATAGTCTATATCGGCGAAGGACCAAACATTAACAAGCTCAGACTTCGCAGTTAATAGGATTGACAACGATAAAGCATTTTATATGTCACACGACATCATTTAGGTAATATAAATAACAAAGATTCTTTTCGGTCAAGAAAGATAAACATTATGAGCACAAATGTTAGTGAACATCGATGGAACTAATATGAGTGTACTTAAACAACAACGATAACAAAATTAAATCCTATTCGTGACCTTTTTTAACTATATAAAACATAACGCAGTAAATTTATTTTAACTACATCAACTATTATAATATATAGTAAAGTATATATAAAAAGGAAATATTTATTCACTACGAGATGGAACAGATAATTATAGAATAATATATCTCTATATCTCTATATTATTATTTGAATATATATTTTTAAAAATGAACTTTAAATGTGTAAGTTATTACATAAAATACCATTACAAATAACAAAAAAAAACTAAAATAGAAAAGGATATAATTGTCTTTCAAATCTATTTAAACAATATATTTTTTTATGTTTATTTAATTTATTTTTCATTTATTAGAGTATATTTATCATTTCATTTTTAAATTTAAAAATATGATAATTTCTTATGTTATTTATTTCAAATGAATAATGTAAAAATTTAAGATTAAAAATTATGATATTAAAAAATGGTGATATATTTTATAAGTATAATTTTCTATGTTATTTGATTATAGACAAAATTAATTTTTACCAAAAATTTGATATGAGAAAATTAATTTTTTATAAATAAAAAAGTTCGTGATGAAGTGTGAATCATTAAAGAATACATATTAGAATTGTTTTTTAAAAGTTATATTTTAATAAAGTATAAATAAATTAAATAGACATGTTACTTCGATATGAAAAGGTTATGATTCTAATTTTTTAATATTCAAAAACAAATCTTGCAATTCCAAATATTAATTTTTAAAATAGGTGGTATATATTCAATCTATTAAATATTATAATTTCTCTTTCAAAATTAAATATATTTTGTTGTATTTTTATTTTTTTTATATATCAAACCTAAGTTTTACAAATATTATACTATTTTCATATATAGCTAAAGAAGATAAATTTAATTTGTATAGTTTGCGAACAGACTACAAAACTCAGTTATTAATAAACAGTTTATTTTGCTTTATTTATACTATTTATTATTATTATTTAAAAATATGATAAATTCATCAATCAACAATAAATTAAATTTCTATTCGGTGAATGTTAAATTTTTGCGTGATATAACTATAGACATATTTATATATATAGATAAAATTTATTAAATATTTTTTGAAATTAATTATTAAAATATGATTTAAAATATTATAATCTTGCGTATATATTACGCGGGTTAATTTCTAATATATATTATATATTATTATTTGAGTACATTTACATAAATGAACTTCTATTTGTAAGATATTACAGAATATTTTATATAAATAGACATTTCTTTATAAAATATTACATAAATAAATTGTTACTTAGAAGATTTTACATAAATAAACTTTACAAATATAAAAAGCTCAAGTAAATATTCCTCCATAAAAGATAGTTAAATATATAGCTCACAGATTTGTTTTGAATATATATGAATATAAATCAAAAATATATTTAGTTTCTTTGCTTATTAAAATATTAAAATATATTCTATTATTTTTAAAAATAATCAATCTATATATATATATATAATATTTAAACTTGTCTGTAATATCTCTATATTATTATTTGAGTAGATATTTACATAATTGAATCTTTATTTGTAAGATATTATAGAATATTTTACATAAATAAACATTTATTTATAAAATATTACATAAATAAATTTTTACTTAGAAAATATTACATAAATAATCTTTTCAAATATAGAAAGCTCAATTAAATATTCCTCCATTAAAAATAGTTAAATATAAAGCTCACGATTTGTTTGAATATATATGGATATAAATCAAATTTGTATTTGGTTTTTACTTATTAAAATATTAAAATATATTATATTATTTTAAATAATAATCAATCTATATATATATAAAAAAATCTATTTAAACTTGTGCAGTATTTTCATTTGTATTTTCATAATTAATTAGTATCATTTTCGAAAATTAATTCAATTATTTATATAAAAAAACTGATTTTTTAAAAAAAAATTAAATTTGTATTTTTTTGCGGGTTGGCCGAAAAAATATTTTAGTAAATTGCAAAATATATTAAGTAGACGGGTTTTTCCACTTTGATAATCCTATATATAATCATTATTAACACATATCATATAATTCATTAACTAAAAATAAAAATGATAGTTTGATCTCTAATAAAATATTTACAATTAAATTATTATTTCATGGATATATATATATATATAGATATTAATTCTAATCCATGTTGGTATGAATATAAGTATATATATTAACATCATATCATTTTCACATTTAAAAACTACTAATAATTAAACTGCATAACAAAACTAGCTCAAAGTCCTATTCAATAATATATATACAAGTAAATCTTGGTTGTGTGCTATTTATATATGTATTGTTATCTAATTGTCACCAATTTTATTAATTTATAATTTTTGTTAAAAGATTTTGCTGCCAATTTTAATTTAACAAAAAAAATTAAAATTAATTAAAATAATCATTACCCTGCACAATGTACGGGTTAATTTAAAGTATTATGTACAGTTGGTTAATAATGAAAAATCAAATCATCCAAGATTTGGATCCGTTTTACTAAAATCAAATGTAGGAGTACGTTATTAGCATATACGTATCTCCATGAATTTGATCAATGCATAAATTTGTAGGCCAGGCATCTCAGATGGGTTCGTAACACACAAAAAAACCATGTATGTTTGCGACCTATATCCTATACAAACAATAACTTTGGTTTTTCTTTTTTTGGTTCTCTACACTCAGTTTGCTTTTACATTTTGCTTATGTATTACATTTACACACCTTTAATAACGAATCTTATATATGAATGATTATACTTAGAAAATTAGAGGTTCATGCTTGGACAAATATGAGAGATTGAATGGATTAAAAAAAAGATGATGAAACTTGAAATATAAGTCTCAAACTTAACACGTGTTAATTACTTGTATTTTACTTGTCTCTCGTTCTTGTCTGTTTAGTTGTCCCTCTCATCTCATAGTTTGATGAGAAACACCTACGAAAAAAGCACTTGACAATATATTATCATATGGAACAAAGGGGAATATTTATCTTACCAAATAGCACTTCTTTGTGTTTAATAACATTTTGTGATCGTGCAAGTTCAAACTTAACATAAAAGCTAAGAAATTATGTATTTAGTATTCTGTATTCAGTTAAAAATAATAAGTAAATCCAATATGTGCAGTATGGTATTTGTTTCCATGTACCTTGCTTTGAACTTGCGCGTGATGTTGATCATCGAACGTATATATATGATGTAATAATTTCATTTATCAATAATCTTATATGGGGGGGGGGTGTCTTTTGAGATAGTTTAATTGGTTGGTTTTAGATTTCATATTAATGATATGAAACAGTAGAAAGTAAAATACCAAACGGATATAGACAATAATTTAATATCAAATTGTTGCTTGAAAGCAAATACTGCTGCAATCAAAATTTTCAAAAAAATTATCTGGAATAGTTGATATATACTACCCACATGTATTGTCTGTTTGTATGTTTGTATTACATATGATCTACTTATACAACATTATCACATAGGAATCAAATATTTTAAAATGTGGAGAGCTATTATTAGGATTTCCACTTAGTATTGTAATTATAGATCGTATAGTACATGACATTAGTGTTCCACCAAATCTTCATTTTCATGCTTATCTTTTCCTAATCACTCTTTTTAAGTCAAACTAATTTAGCCTCATGACCAATGAATAAGTATAATTAATCCATAACTAACTTATGCTACAAATGTTAAAGTGCATTGTATGGAACGCAAATATACGTTTATCTGACTTAGAACGATGGTGATTGATAAAAAGTACGATTTAAATGGTAAAAAATAGAAAGAATATTGATAAAAATGAAAGAATATTGGTAAAAATTATGCAAAAAAATTAAATGTTAATATCTTCTCTTAAAAAAAAGAATAAATAGTTGTACAAAATTTGACCAAATGTCGCATGAGCAAGGATTTTGCAAACCCTGTACCACATGAAGTGGGACGAAACCTCTATTTTATGTTGACACAATGATGCGGAGAAGACAAAGTGGCTGAAAAGATGGCTTTATGAAAAGACCAAGAATATGTAAGTCTTTTGTGTTACAAGTTTTTTTACTAATAAATAATTACAGTTTTGGAAGGAAGTATGTTTTGTCATCCGAGGTTTTATATCATCATACTTCCTCACCTCCTTTACTTTTCGAGCTAACCTGTTTGTATCCACATGCTTTAAGTTTGAATAGATTGTTGCATTTTTGTTGTTTTGTTCAATTTTTGTTGCAATTTTACTGGTGCCAACTCCACTCCGGCGTATTGAATGTCGCATTCAACATAAAAGGTCTCGCCAACAACTCTTGCCCACTGTAAAAACAAAGATGTACTCAATGAAATGGAAAGCATACAAGTACAATGATACCACGTTGAACTTACAAGCATTTACTCGTTTTAAAACTTTTCTGACGATACTTGTTTTCTTATCTGGTTCATATGTTTTTCGATCTCTATTCGAGGGTCAGTATCCCTTTTAATTTCTTGGTTTATACAATGCAACCACTCTCTCCTAGTGAATACCTTGCATAGAATACATGTACTCCTGGTTTATACTGTGTTATCTTCTAGTTAATATTCAGTCGGTAAAGTTTCACAGAGACGAACAGTTTCTATGCAAGTTTCTGGATTGAATTAGTCTAGTTGATCCTTTTCAAGTGTTATCTTCTTTTTGGTTATTTTGGCTTTGCATTGTTGTTCCAATTAGATGGTCATATTGTCTTGTTAATCCGTGGAAATTGTGCTTTTACAAAGTAGGTAAAACATGTCAAATTTGATTACGTTTTTGTAATATGATGTATGTATGATTTGCGGTCTGATACTTTAGTTTCAATATCAATTTCAAATTGAAACAACAAAGAAAAATTCAAATAAATTTTCTAAAAAATATTGAGTTTGAGCTTGAAAGGGGCTTTAAAAGACCAGAAAGTTGTTAGAATGGTGAAAATTCACTCTAGGTATTGAGATTGTTAGGAACTTGGGGAAGAGTGATGAGAGTAATTAAGAGAAGATGGACACACATATTGGAGATAATAACTCTGAGAATGTTATTTGGATCTTTTACTTCATTTGTTAAGAGAACCATGTACGCAATTTGTCCTTGGAATTTGGAAATCATGCTTGTTCAACTCAAACTTGGTTAAGAAAAAAACGAGTTTTTCTACATTTCAAATTGAAATCGATATTTGACTGACATATATCGTATAAATATTGTATACCACAAAAGAAACCATAACATAATTTATTATATTAAAACAGAATCAATTTTAGTGTTTGTTTCCAAACACTCCTAAAGTTTTTTTTTTTAAAATATTTATATATATATATATATATAAATTTAATTCCGAAAATTAGATACTCCCTCCGTATTTTTTTAAGTGTCATTTTAGAGTGTTACACATTTATTAAGAAAAACTAGAAAAAGACTACACTAACCTCATACAAAACAACAAATTACGATTGTATTTTGAAAAAAAACCATTTATCTCTAAATTAAAATCCCTGAAACCAAATTTGCGTCTTTGAACTTACTTTTTTCTTTGCCGACCAAAAAAAAAGCTTATCTTTTTCTTTGGGAATTTCACAGATGCATGTCATCACAATGATAGAAATTGAAATCTAAATCAAGTAAAAATCTTGAAAGTGGGTCGATATAGAGAGAGACCAAAGAGATATGAAGTGCTTCACTCATCACCTCTTCCTCTCTACTCCTGCATATCTCTTCTGTATTTTCGTCAAATTATGAGGTCGATTTGTCATATTCCTTATGAATGATAGACAGTAAGAATATTTATGCATTCATTTTGTTTGACTATGTTTGGTAGACCCTTCATATTTTTATTAGTATGAATGTTTGTGTTTTATTAATTGAGGGCTAATATGGGAAATTATTAGCATAAGTTACATTAATTATTCAAAACGACATTTAAAAATTAACAAAAAAATAACTCTAAAACGACACTTAAAAAAATACGGAGGGAGTATTAATTTAGATAACTAAAAATTTCTTTAAATATAAATTATATCTATAGTCTATAGATATTAATTTAAATAGACTTCTTTAAGTATAGGTTAGATTTAATTTAACATTTGAATTTAAATAAGATTTTTAGAATAACACATATGATTAACAAATATCTTATTATATTTTTTTACTTATATTCTATCAGATTAAAATTTCATATATTGAAAATAAATAAATATTAATATTATATAATAATTTGATGAGACAAGTTAATTTTTTTTTATAATTATGGTCTTATGCGGATTAGGTTATCAAAGCATACAAAATATTAGGAAAAATTTATTTCAAAATTAGTAAATATTTAAATTGTAAAATAATATAAACGGGCAGGTTAGAATTATAATTTCATAATCATGATCTTTTTTGGATTAATAAAATAAGCAAGTTAGAAATATAGTTTTTATAATAATGATCATTTTTTAATTAATAAAATATATGGGTTAAAATTATGTTTTTATGATCATGTGGTCATAATAATACTGAAAAAAAAAATTATATCTAAACACAAATTTTTTTTATATTACTTATTAAAAATCAATATTTATAAAGAAAACATAAATTCTATTATAAATTTTGATTAAAACAAAATTCCCGTATGGATGCATAAAGTAAAATCTAGTTCTAACTTAAAGTGCGATATCTTTTATTTTATGTCACTCGTGCAATCAAAATTAACATTCAACAAAGAAACTGAAAAACAAAACGTTTAGAAGCAAAAAATTATATTTCCCAAGTAAAAAATAAAATAAAAAGAAATCATCATTTGGTTCAAAATCACCATATATATATATATATCACACTCAACAGTTACAAATTCTCACACCGTCATTTGGTTCAAAGCACAATGTACTTGTTTGTTCACACATTTAACTCACTGCATCATCGTAGTAACTCTTGTAGTAAAACCAAAACGAAAAACAGTCTTCTGTAAGTTTTTTTTTTTGTAAGTTTAAATTCTTTTTACTATAAAAATTAAAATTTCTATCATATGTATGATAGCATTAACCATTAACCAGTAATCAGTGATTTTTAAACAATAAAGAAGAAATAAACTCAACTGAATGGATATTTAAGATTTTGATTTAAATTAAAACATTACTTAGAAATATATATTTTTTTTTTTGTAACAAAGAAAGAATATTTTAACCATTTAATTTGTTATGCATAACGATACTTTTTATTCAATATCGAAATCCTGCCAACTCTCTGAACCTTAAACGTGAGAATGTAAGATTAGACCAAATGAAATATATAAAAACAAAATTTTATTGAAAATTCGAAGCAGATCTTTGTCAAACCAAATGAAACCAAAATGTAAAAAAATTTTGTATTATAATTATATATATATATATATATTTCGTTTTTTACAATCTGAAAAAGATTAGGAAACAAGGCAACACAGCGCGTGCATCGAAGACAAGCAACTCACCAGCTGGACCCGCAACTGAATCCGACCCGAATTCGCCTTGCTTAGCAACCCGACCCGCGATTACTCTACAAATCAGCATCGCTCTCCTCCCTCCTCCGCCGCCTGTGCTATCGTGCGCTTCACCGCTCCCAGAAAACGTGCAAACCGCCGCTCCTTTACCTCCCGGAAAAACCCACGCGCCGCCGTTAATCCCTCCCGGGATCGGACCCAACGGATAAAACCTCATCATCTCGTTCCCGTCTGCCGAACATCTCGCGTCCTCGTCGCACGCGCCGTCGTCGGTATCCAATTTCGAGCGCGATCTCGATTTCACAGCCTCTCTGTATTCCTCAAACCGGGTCACAGCTCTCGACCCGTTTTCGACTTTAAAAATCATTTCGACCCGACCCGGAAAATCTTCGGAGCTCCAGCTCGATTGGAATATAATCTCCACGACGTTTCTCGAAGGATGGCCATCGGGCAGATCGGTCAGAACGGGCAACGCAGATTCCGAAGAAGCTCTTGCGGATACGCTTCGTCGGGTCGGGTTATAAGAATTGGATTCTGATTCGGGTCGAGAAGAAGAACGTAAACGCCTTAAATTTGGGTTTGGTTTTGGGTTTTTCTTACCGGATCCGGATCGGGTTTCGACGACGTCTCTGATGGATTTTCTGCAGCTGTAACTTGGCAACAAGAGTTTACCGTTGTTGGAGTGATGATAGACATCGTCGAAAGCTCTTGATTTGCAATGTAAGGATTTGACCCACCCGATCGGCATTTTCGGGTCTTGGGTCCGAATCTGGTTTCCTCTCTCTGTTTAAAAAATTAAAAGCGTATACAGAAGTTTAGACTTTAGAGATTCGTGGGAAGCTTTGAAGTTTTCCTCTGTGAATATTTGTGTATGTGTATGTATGTACGTATGTATGAATATTGTCCCGCCGTCTTAATATGGGCGTTTTATCGGTTGACGGTTGGTGTTCTTGATTGTAAATGACGATATTACCCCGTTTATCTTGGGTCTTGACTCATGTCAACGTGAAATCTCAGCTTTTTGTCTTCTTAATCATTTTTTTTCTTTTGTTTTAATTTTTATCATGATTTAAAAAAAAAAAAAACAGTTAGGAGAAGCTTATAGTATCTCTAACAACCCTCTTATTTTAAAAGGAGCTGACCCTCAAAATAAAGGTTTGAAGGTGAACTGCTCCAACAAGGATCTTTAAATTTATCCATAAAAGTATTTAAATATTACATACTAGTCTTCAACATAAACAATAATTAAATATAATAATAAAAATGATATAATAGATACAAAACATACTTTAAACTAAAATGTTACATAACATATTAATAAATAAAACATTATCTAAATATTAGTATAGTAATGTAATTTTATTTTGTAAAATATTTATGTATGTTTGTGACTTTCTTATCATGTAAGAAATTATTATTATAGTGTAATTTTATATTTTGCTGTAATTTGTTTAATGTAATATAATTGTTATGTAAAATTTATTTTTGTGTTATTTAATATTTTTATTCTTAATTTTGAAATTTTAATATATATATATATTTATTTATTTTAATATATAATAGCTAAGTTTATAACGCTATATTTGAATTTTTTTTTTGAGGTATATAACTATATGGACTAAAGTAAAAAAGACAAGAAATTTATTTGATTATCTGTAAGATATATGGATTACAAAGAGTAAAATGAAAAAGTAAAAAGTTTTTTAAGGGGATGAACAATATCCCTTTATATTTGAGGATCTGTTGGAGATGCTAGTATTTCAGAAAAATAGTAAAATACTCTATGTAATGATATATATTTAAATTTTTTAATAAGTTTCAATTCAAGAATAATTAATAATGATTGGATTAAATCACGTCTATAGAGTATTTTAGCTATATTTTATTCTATATGTAGAATTTCAAACATATACGAATCCCATAGTATAACAAACAAAAAATACTACATAGATGTTATTGACAAAAAAAACAAATATTAGATGATATTGATTTTAGTTATGAATGTTAATAATACTTGTTATAAACAGTGGCAGATTTAGAAAAAAAATTAGTTAGGGATAATTTTTTATTTTTTATCATTAAATTAAAATTATTTAAAATAAATTTACCTAAATTTTATTTAAATTAAAAAAAAATAAAAAATAATAGGGGGTACATGACCCCATAGATTGTTTACTGTCTCTGCCCCTGGTTATAAATACTGTCAGTTACAACCTAAATTTAGGTATTATGCAAAATGTTTACAAACATCTAATAAATTGACTTTTGTATAGAAACTTGAAAAGAAAAAGAAATCAAATACAATGAAACAGAACATTTTTTTCTAATACATTTTAAATAATTGAACATAGAGATAGGGAGTATTAAACAGGACTACAGGAGAATTCTTTATAAATCTACTAAATATTATGTTAAACAGTAAATTCAATTTTTTTTCCTAATTATTCTGTAACATTATTATGTCTATTTTTAAAAAAGTATTCATTTTACGCATGCTATATTACGAATTGAAAACATTTGTACTCATATGTGTTTGTTTGTAATACGAATTGTTTGATGAAAGTGATATGTAGTCATTATTTATGGAGTAGAAGCTGTTGGAGAGGGGAATTATAAACAGGACAAGTGTAATAATTAAAACTCGAAAGCAGTTGGTGAAGATAACAAAAAAATCATTTAATGGAGAAAATGGCTATGGCCTATGGGCGGGAATGTGTTTTTTGTTTTTAATAACATGTTTTAAGCTGAAATGAGTAAAGTCTATTGTTGGGTGGAGAATTTATTGACATATTTATATATCACATCGCAATAATAACAACGATGACAGTAATTATAAATGGGAAGTTGCAATTTCGTTTGATTCAGATAATTTAAAATGAATATAAGAAGAATGATTGATATAGTACCTCACTAACTCTTCATAGTTTCTGTATATCAAAAAATAGATAAACTACATCTTAAGTTTTTAAATTATTTTCATGTACCATCCTTAGCGAACTTCATTTTTATAATAGCTTTGTGTTAGTGAAATCTCTGAGACATCAATGCGTGCAATCTACGTATACGATAATATCAGTCCCATATATTAAATATTGCATTACCTATCAGCGAATTTTTTTAGTCATCACCATATTTTTTGATATAATCTTATTAGAAAGATGATCAACGATGGAATTCCACTATTTTTTAAAAAAATTTAACTACTTATAGCACATATAATTATGATAAACAACAGAGTTTTCCCCCAACACACGGATGCACAGCAAACGATTATACATACACGTTGAATAACTTTCCACAATATTAAAAACCTACATCACCAAACGAATTAATAACCCATTTATCTAAAAGCTAAGTATGAAAAATACAAGACAAACTACATAATACTGGGCTAGGAGCGTTTTATAAGATCCTAAACTTCATTTAGTATAGAGGTGGAACGGATCTAAAGTGTAAACATCATAAAATTTTAGAATACTTAGGTTCAAATAATTACTATATTCGAAAGGTTTCAGTCTTTCAGATATCCGAATTTCAAATATTTTCCCAAACATCAAAATATCCATTACATAGTACATACTGCATAATACAAATTACGTACTCGTAATAATCAAAATTTTAAAACTGGTAAAATATTTCATATTAAATCTCAAAATCTGCCGTTCCGGATAATAAAATCACTAATCAACTTTATACATATTTATTTATACATAATGTTGAAACGTCGGATTCAGCAAAACGAGCTATAATTGATTTATTTTAATTATCACATTTACTAATTGCAACGCTTTGTTGGTGAAACAAACATAAATTAAACTATACAGAAATATGAAAAGGGTTGCGAGTCGTGCGACAGGCAATACGTCACTATTTAAAATTGTTTATGCGCAATAAGACAAAAAAATCTCACATTTCTTAATTTTTTGTCGTAAATGTTACATTTCAAGTTGCAATAACATGAAGCGACGACCTTTAAGATTTGTACACTCCAGCACTTTTATTTTCATTTTAAATTTTATGTCCGTTTAATACTACATGACTTTCTAATTGATGTAACCATGAAAATACCAAACAGAGAATTCAATTTTGTAAGGACTGTAACACCAACACTCTTTTTTCAGCTATAATGTTCAATTCTATCTTCTTAGACCATCTTTAATGTATTCTTCTATTTTTTACTCTAAAATAGAAGAATTTTATAATAGAAGTGGGTTTCTCTCCAATGTATTTTTCTATTTTTAACTCTAAAAATAGAATATTTTAAATATATTATATTTTTACTTTATTATTAACACATTCTATTTGTAAAAAATTACAATTTAATCCCATTTGTTTATTCTTTGAAAAAATTTCACACATTATGATAATTTATTACCTCAAATAAAAAGAAAAAACATAGTGGATTTTGTTTAAAATCACTATTACTATACTTTTATCTTGTCACTATTATATTTATTCACTGGTCTATTTTTATCAAGATGAATAAAAGTATAATGTTCTATCAAATGTTGACTTTTTCTTTGAGGGATAATACATATGAAATTAACTTTGTTAAGTTTTATTGTTAAATTTGAAGTTATATCATTTATATTGTTTGTTTTAACTATAAATAAAAAGATTTGAAACTTAAAAGACCATTTTATAAATAAAAAAGTTTAACTCTATTATAAAGTAAAAAATAGAGGACCTCTATATATAGAGGGAAAAATAGCATTTTTCTATTTTAGAGGTAAAAATAGAGTTGAATTGGAGATGATTTTCCTCTAAAATAGCATTTAGAGTAAAAAATAGAGATGGATTGGAGATGCCCTTAGCGTAGCTGTATGCTTGCGTTGTGGACTCATAAGGGGATACTCATTCTTCTCATGTGTTTTTTATTTAATTTTTTGGTAAAATTTTTTTTCTCATGTGTTTTACTTTAACCTTTGACATGGTGATAACACGTATTTTGACCACTTTTATAGATGATTTTGAAATTCTTTTTCTATGTTTTTTATTGCTTTCAAGTACTTTTATTACGTTTTTCTAGTATTTGTAGTTCCAAAACTCTTTTCAGGAAACTTAGGAAATAACTTAACAAAATGGATAAAATACCAGATTTTCAGCTCAGAGTCAAACCGTCAGAAATTCACCCCGATTGAAGGCCTTTTCACCTTCTGATCCAGCTCAAATTTGGAGATCTCAAAGATGGAACTACAGCTTTCCAGCACACTTTACAGCTTGGCAATCCAACGGTTCAATCAAAAGATACGCGAAGAGCAAGATGTCCAATAAACCAGCCGGCAAACATTTCCACCCGCGGCCAACAGCCATTTCACCACGGTCAAAGGCTACTCGACCGTGGCCAAGCATCCATTCCCCGCGGCCACGTACTTCCCGACCGCGGCCAGCCAACTCCTAGTTAGAAGGCCCATTTTTGAAGCCTAAATCATTTTCTCAGCCTCAATTCTGGAACCCTAGACACCAGAGAGCATTGGAGACTATAAATACTTATCATTTAGGTCATTTTTAAGGGAGACGAAATACTTTAGAAGAAATTTTACTTTACGCTTTTGTTTTTAGGTTTAGGGAGAGAGAGATCTATCTCTTGAACCTTTGTTCTTTTTCTTTTCAATTTCGATTATTGCTCTACTTTTTAATACTATTTTTTTGATTTCGTTCATCATGTCTGAGTAGTTTTATTGTTGGGTCTAAGGGATTTTCGATGGGGATATATATGTTCGATGAAGATTCTATGAGCTATTGAAGCCGAATCTTAAAACTTTTTCTTCTGAATTTACTTTTACTGCATGAGAGTAGCGTCATGAACTACAATCTGATACAGATTCTTGGTGACACGAAAGTGTTCATCCGGTGTCAGATCTAGTTTGGGAGAGCAAAACAAACATAGGAGTGGAAACCTACCTATGGGCGATTTGTGAATGCTGACGAGTCTTAAACATAATGCATCTTTTCTCTTCCAGGGCCAGAGTGGAAACCTACTGGTCAGGGTTGAGAGAGATAGTTGTATATGATCACAACAGTGGCTGAATACGTTCGTGACTCCAGTTCAAAAAGTTTAAGCTAAGATCTTATCAAATTTACTCTTTAGCAATGTTTTAAATCGTTCATACCCAGAGAAAACTTCCCTGACACCCAGCGCCTCTTTTCTATAGATTTACATCGATTTTTTTTCAAGCTTTAGTTCATCATTGTCATTCTCTTAATCGATTTTTATTTAAGTAATTAGGTTTAGCCATTTTTTCCGTTTTACTCGATTTCATTAAGTTTAGTTATTAGGTCATTTAAATTCCTGTATTTTCTAGCTAAGATTAGTTTTTACATTTTAAAGACACCACCAAAACCCTTAACAAAAATTGCCTAGTTCTAGACTTCCTTACTTTATATTTCTTTCGAAGACTTTTGCAGGAAAAATCCTCCTTCCTTGTGGATTCGATCCCTAAGTACTACAATCGATCAGCTGTGCACTTGCGGCTATTGATTTCATTTAGGGTAAAACTTGACAACCCTCACGCGACAGCACACATCACATGCGTAACATCTTTGCTTTCTTTTCTATAGATTCACACCGATTTTCATTCAAGTTTTAGTCTAGTATTTTCATTCTCCCAATCGATTTTTATTTAAGCAATTAGGTTTAGTCGTTTTTCTCGTTTTTACTCGTTTTCGTTAAGTTTAGTTATTAGGTCATTTTAATTACCGTATTTTCTCTTTAAGATTCGTTTTTACGTTTTAAACACACCACCAAAACCCTCAAAAAACTCGCCTGGTTCTACACTTCTTTACTTTATATTTCTTTCGAAGGCTTTTGCAAGAAAGATCATCCTTCCCTATGGATTCGATCCCTAAGTACTACAATCGATCAGCTGTGCACTTGCGGCTATTGATTTCATTTAGAGTAAAACTTGACACCCTCACCACACAACACATCAAATCTTCACCAAGAGTCTTCCACTCGGATCATGGAGAGTCAAGTAATCCTGTCTCATTCTGACATCACAGCCGGATTCAGTGGCTTGTCCTAGACTCAGAATGTTGCTTTTAAGCTCAGATATATAGTAGATATCTGATACGAGTTTCTGCTCATCTGCTTTACTTTGAAACAGAATCAATCCTTTTCTAGCTATTCCCACGCAAGAGCCATCTCCAAACTTCATTTTGCCCCTTATGTTTTCGTTGAGCTCAGAGAAAAATGCTTTGTTTCCTGTCATGTGATTACTTGCTCCATTATCTAGATACCAAAGACTTCTTCTCCTTCATAGTTCTTTGGCATTAGATTTTTCTCACTCAAAAACACAATCTCATGCATATAAAGTGCCTTAGCTTCTTCTGTCTCCACTTTATTTGCCTCCTGTGTCTTTTGCGGTCATTTAGGACAGACAAATGCAAAGTGACCAGGTTTATCACATCGATAAAAAATCACCTTCGACCGATCCTTCTTCTCCTTTGATTGGTTCTGATTTGTTGATCGTTCTTGTGAGTTAGACCCGCCTCCTCTGCCTCGTCCTCTGTTTCCTCTGCCACCTCTACCACGTTCTCTCCCTCTTGAGCTTGAAAAACTTTGTTGATCTGAGTTAGCGTATAGTAGCTTGCCTTGGGCTTCTCTGTGATTCTCCTCCTCGAGAATTCTTTCTTCATACGCCTTAAGCCTTTCTACTATATCTTCATAACTCGTCGTCTTCAGATCCAACACCTGCTCGAGAGAGGTGATGATACGAATGAAATTACTCCTAGGCAAACTGTTAAGAAACTTATTCACAAGTTTTGGTTCTTCAATTGTTTTCCCTAGAGAAGCCGATTTTGAAGCTAGTTCAGATAAATTTCCCGCGAAGTCATCTATCTTTTCCGGCTCGTTCATCTTGATTCTCTCAAACTCGAACATTAGGGTTTGAAGCCTTCCTTGAAACGATCAGCTCCTAGATGACGTGCTTTGACCGCGTCCCATATCCTTTTTGGAGATTCTTTTAAGCCGACTTACAGAATAAGAACCTTCGGGACAGATTGAAAGATAAGTCCTATGGCGATATCATTCTTGTTGGGATCGGTCGAACCAGGTTCAATTGTTTCCCACACCTTATGGATTCGCATAAGAACTCTCATTCTCATAGCCCACACCGTGTAATTTGTTGACGTTAATATAGGGCACTGGATCGCAGAAGGAACACTTTCCTTCGGATTAGGGTTAGGGTTTGGGATGATATCTCGCATGGTTAGATATCGAATGATCTTCGTGTTCGATATACAAGGTCTCAAGCTTCTCCTTAAGCTCTGCTACCAATTCAAGTATTGAAATCAAGAACACAACTCTGTAATAATTCTCTTATTATGTTTAGAAAATCTCTCAAAACTAAACACCAAAGTACAGTAGAACCTCTATAAATTAATACTCGATAAATTAATAATCACTATAAATTAATAAATTTCTTTGGTCCCGAGTTGGGACCAGTGTAAAAATCTATCAAATTCGATAAGATAATAAGATAATAAATTTTTTGAAACTCCTATGTAAATATATGGTCCCAACAGAAATATAAATTAATAATTATATAAATATATACAAATATATTTATAATATTCTAAAATATGAACAATGTGTTTACTTTTACTTAAAGTTGAAATTTCACTGGTGTTCATCTATTTGTTTATTACATCTCTATCTGTTATTGTTTTTTTCGATATTCATTCATATTTGTGAAGAATTTTTGATATAATAATTGGTTTTCTTACACGTAAATATCTATAAATGTATTGTAGTATTGTGCTCAATTTCATTTTTTTGATAATAGCCACGGTTTCTTATAAATTTTGAACTTTTAAACATGTATATTTTTAATAGATAAATTAATATTCTATTAAAAACTATTTTGTTATGATAAATATATTTATTAATGATAATTTTTATTAAGTTATTCTCTTAAGTTCTTAAATACAAAATTTTTCAAATTTTTTTTTAAAAAAGTTATAGACTAAAACTAGATTATCTCTATAAATTAATAATTATTAATTTATAGATAAATTAATATCACGATAAATTAATAAAATTTTATGGTCCCAACATTATTAATTTATAGAGGTTTACTGTATGTATCTCTCATTGATGCAATTTCATCAATGATTTACATATATATAGTGTCTTGCACAACTTTACTAAGCCACTTTTCCTTTTTCTATTAGACCTAGATATCTCCTAAATCCTAATCTAATAAGGAATATTTCTAAAACCCTATCTAATTTACTTAACCGATTTGTTAAGCAACTTAGGTCTTGGTTCATGTTGATGCTTATTCAACATTCTCCCTTTTAAACTTCAACTTGATCTTAGATATATCTTAATTAAACTCCTATCAAGTTTCTCATTCGCTGAACTTGAATACTCTTCTTGTTCAGTTTATTTCCGATCAAAAAACAACTTCAATAACTTCATCAATTTTTTTTATTTTTTTTTTCACTCTTCATCAATTATATCTCCCAGACTCTGATGGCTGGAACCATATAGTAGTTCATCAGAATGTTTCGAATCCAAACTCACACCTGTATAAACTGGAGATAACGAAGAAGAGGCTTCTCCACCGACCGTTCGATTGCCAGAATGCGAGAGACCAATCATTGAAGGTCTGAGCACTTTTCCTTTGTAGTTCTTCCAAATTGTGTTCATACTTGAGAAAATGAAATATACTGAAACTACTTTAGATATTCTCAAAGCCATGTATCCCCCGCTGATACCATAAAAGTTTAAAGAATTCAGATACAACCATTTTTTCTATGACTTGGACAATACCAAATCCACTACTTTTTTAGTAGAAATTATGTAAATTAACTTTACACAAGGTACAGTTTGATCGGAAATAGCTTATATAGTCATCATTTATTTTCCATTTTTCTCTTCCAAATTAACTATATTCATTTACCTTGGTATGCATACGATCGGTTCGATTCGCACGGCTTGGTATGCTATTGCCCTTCGAAAGTTTAACTCATACATTATACCACAAAATATATGTTTTCTAACTTTAATAGACCGTGCGTGATATTTTTTTTTCCCACGAAAAAGACTTATTTAGACCAAGAAACTATATACCCAAGTTATCTTATATCAACAAAAAAAAAAATTAGACATGTGATTGACACTAACAACAATTAGGCTAGCTAGAAGAAGGGCCACCACATTGAAGAATATATAAAAGCGGTATCAAATCAGTTGCTTTTATTATTGGAACTAAGATTTGTCTCACAAACTGCTGCCCAAATTATTTATCCTTTTTTGGAAGAGTGAGTTTATTTCCATCTTAAAATTTGCAATTTGTTCAGAAGGAAAATTTCTTTATGAAGCTGTTTGAGTTCTTAGAGATACTCATGGGGAAGTATTGATGCATAAACGGCGAGTTTTTTTTTTCACACATTGGCAGTTTGATTGTAACCAAGTTTAAAAGTTTACTTTGGGCTGTGGAAACAAGTTACAAGGTTATATATGTTTTTTAAAGATAGTTTGGATGCTGTTTTGTGACCATAATTTTGGCTTTCTTCTTAGTTCTAATCCTTTAAGGTTATGCGTATTTCAACTTATAGCGAAATGAAAGTTGAAAGAGAGGATTATGAAAATTACAAATTGAGGAGCTGTTCTCACTGTCCAAATATCTTTGTCCAGGACTATCATCAATCTTAGGTGGCCATTAATTGTTTTTTTTTTTTTGAGTTACGTGAGCTCTTTGATAATGAGAGATTTTAATCATTTTTATAACCGCATTCAATCTAGTTTCGTATCCTCGGTAGTTAAAGCATATTTTATCAACAACTTACATATGGTTTTTAATATAATCCTTTCAGATAAAAACAAAATTTAGCATTTTCTTCCTGATTTAAATAGTCTATAACTTTATTTTAGAGTTTAATCTTCGATTCTAAATCAAGTATTGAGTTATTAATGACAAGAACAAATCAATTTGTGAAAAAGAAATATGATCTTCTATTTGTTCAATAAAGTTTCAAATCTTTCACAGTTTTTTAATTTATGAATTCCTTTTTTTCATCAACCTTAATAACTATATTAATTATATAATATAAACAAAAACCTTACTTCTTTTATGTTATAAAAAGTTTCATTCTACAGTTTTTGATATGTGAAAACAAAAAAGTATTTTTTTCTTTTGTTAATAGAAATTAATACAAAAATATAGTTAATTTTTACTTTCTAAAATGTAGTTGGAGATACGAAATAATTAATTTTGTTTTTAAAACAGAGTAAGTAAAAAATATCAATAATTAAAAGTGTCATGTATGCAAGTAAGTATATACCCAATGAGCATAAAGACTTCATATATAAGGTCCCAGTCTACTTTCTTTCAAGTTTTACGCAATCTTTCTCTCTCTCTCTCTCTCTCTCTGTGTCAAATTTCTATGAATCTCTAGGAAATATCTGTTCCAGAATTCGTCTTCTTTGAGTTGAATTAGCCCTAAACTATGCAGGCTTGATCTACCACTTCATCTCCGATCTGCAAGACTGCATCTCCTTATTGAAGAAGAAGCCGCAAAATCAATGTGCTTCGTGTCGCGATTTTGTTAAATAGCTGCATCCTGAGATTCTCCTAAGTCAGCGATGCCTTTGACGAGGTCGAAGAGCTTTCCGACGACGGATGCGACACCGGAGAACGGTGGTTCCGATCGGGAGAAGCTTGCATCGGGGAGATCGGTGGCTGGGATTCTCTACAAATGGACTAATTACGGAAAAGGGTGGAGATCCAGGTGGTTCCTCCTCCGCGATGGAATCTTATCCTACTCGAAGATCCGGCGGCCGGAGAATGTGAATCAATTGTCTCCTTCCGACGATGTGAGGCTAATCGGAGATATTTCTACTGATCGCTTCTCGAGGATGAATAGCTGCAGTGGCCGAGGTCGCCGGAAACACCACAAAACCGTCGGCATTGTTCATCTCAAGGTATGCATTCATAGATTCTCTCAATTCAAATCTTGAGATTGGGTTTTTAAAATTGCAGTAGGGAGAATTGAGAAATTTTTTCCCTTTTGGTGAGTTTATTGATTAACGTTCTCCATTTTTAGAATTGATTTTCTTGGGATTAGAATAGAGTAAAGAACCAGTTGGCTTCTGGAATATTTCATCGTGTTTGTTAGTGTAACAGATTAAGACCCTAAAATGTGATTTCTCTGACAGAGTAGAGTAGAGTATCGTCTTCTGCTTCTTCTTCTTCTTCTTCTCTCTTTTGGTTAAACTTCTGTAGTTTGTCCTTATGCTATTCATTTCTTGTTTCGATTATCTTGTAAGAGAACCTCTTTGGTTTCTATAAAGCTTTTAAGCTGCTGCTTATCTGTAGTGGGCCACAACAACAGGTTTTATCTGGTGTCCAAGTTTAAAAAGTTCATTACAGAAAAACCAAATCACCAAAGTACAAAAACTCTTTTTGGCTGGTGCTACTACAATCTAGTATTGCAGGACTAGGGTCCCAATTCGTTGAATACCATTAACTCATTAGCACAGTTTCCATCCGTTAAAACTTGGTTAAAACTTGGTTTCTATTGAAGAAAAGGCAAGAAGTTTAGAAATGTGACATCTTTGGCCACATTATCTGTCATTTTATTTTTGATTTTTCTTCCCTGTCTTGTGCCTGAGTTTTTATTTATTTGTTTTGGCAGCGCCTATACAAATTTATGATTTATTTTTTGTTTGCCATCTTCTCCTTATGCCAATAACTGATGTGTACGGTATATACTAAAATTCATTGACCAGTGGGTTTAGTTATATATATTTTATTTCATGGAGTTTCATCATGATTGGTAAAAGGTAGGTAAGACTAGTCGGTAGTAAATAATGAGGTGTGGCTGTGTGGGAACTTCAAACCACCTCTT